CTGCTCCATGCTCTCACTACAGATCACAGCATTGCCTGTGAGCATCCTCCTCCACAGAGACGTGTGCCTGACCTCATCTGTCAAACTGCCCATCACCACTGCAAAAAAAGGAGCTCAAAACCAACATGTCCTGCACCATCCTCACATACTTCGTTGCCATTTCTGGCTTTCTCATGCAGTATACCACTGTGCTTTCTCTAGACCACAAAAACATTATGAAACTCCTTCTGACCTTCGCTACACTCCTCCATCAACACTCTAAGCCAAACACTGGAACTGTGCTCTTTTCTCCACATGAAGCCATACTGCAGTTTGCACCTATCACCTATCTTCTTAACCCAGTGGTTCTTAACCTGGGTTCGATCGAACCCTAGGCGTTCGGTGAGTCAGTCTCAGGGGTTCGGCAGAGCCTCCACCTTGACATGCACGGCTCATTTTGTGCACCAGTAAAAAACATATCAATGTCTTGAATTTGAAAAAAAAAAATCATATTTTATTTTTCACTAAAGGGGGGTTCAGTGACTGCACATATGAAACTGGTGGGGTTCAGTACCTCCAACAAGGTTAAGAACCACTGTCTTAACCTAACTTCCGCAGCTCTTTTCCATATCTTCATCATCTGGCTCGCCAACTTTATCTCTCTGTAGTTACTACAGCTCTGCACATCACCCTTGTTCCTGAAAAGCACCAGTAAACTTCCTAATATTGCTCAGGCATCCTCTCACTGTCCAAGATTTTGTTAAACAATCTGGTTAAAAACTCTCACAGTAGTCCTGTCAGCTTTCTTCATCAGCCCGACTACTTTCCATGTTTTCTTTGCTAATCTCCTCCTTTAAATACTTTCCTGCATTAACATTTATGAATGTGACCACCATCGCGTCACTCTGTCTTCTTTACTCTGTCCAGAGAATAGGACAAATGCCCTCATGGCAGTGTCTGTGCAACATTTCTACCATTTAATCCTTGCCTATGTCTTCACTCACTTCCACTTCTTGTTTCCACTCGTGTTTCAGATTGCTTTTTCTGTATAAGATGTAGAGCACCTATGTGTACGTCCTTGCATTCTTATTCATCCCTTTGTGTTCCTTCTTCATGTTCACCATAGTCATTTCCATCCTTTTTGCAAAATCCACAACCATCTGTCCTTTTGCATTTCTCTCCTTAACACTATACATACCTAACACCTCCTCATCACCTCTGTTCCCTTCACCTACATGTCCACTGAAGTCTCATCCAATAACCTCATTACCAATCACCTCCAGTGCTTCTGTCCTTGCTTCCCTTACACCTGGTCTCTTGCACAAACAATATACCTTCCTTCTCTCCAGCACATGAACTAGCTCTTTCCCTTTACCAGACTACAGAGTCCCTGCTCTCACCTCCACACTTAGACCATCCCTTCTCTCTTGCTACCTCCAAACACACCTTCCCCCTTTCTTTGTCTTCAGCCAACAGTAACACCGTTTCCACTGACACCCTGTTAGGCAACAGCACTAGAGGCAATTATTGTTAACTCGAGCCCTGACTGATCTGGTATAGAAATCGCATGTGGAAACCTCAATAATCTGCTTGTTTGATTTTAACACCTGATACCCTTTCTCATGTAACCTTCCCCATTTACCTGGGGCTTGGGACTGGCACTAGAAATAAACTGGGTTCCAAAAGTGAATCTAATTATCACCTTTGTTTCTTTTGCTTTTTGATTTTCCAAAATAAATCTATTACTTTTAAAGATGCTGTAATTAATATTATTTAGGGTTTAAAACAGTGCAAGTTTGTTTTCTTTGAAAAGAAAAAGAAAAAACAGCGCAAAATATCGAATGTGGAACAACGTAGAACGTAAAAGTGTTTTCTCTGAGCCTGTAGAGAATTATAGCCTGAATATACTCCTCCATTCAGCTTTGCAGAGCTTTATAAGCAACTTTAGATCATCGTTTAGGTGTCTAGCCAACAATTTCAATGTTTTGTTGCACTCTTATTGCTCTCTCAACTTTTTTGCAGCCATACCAAGTAGCTGCTTTTAGTGAAAAAAAACCTTTAAAATCAACAGTGAGCTGCCTGCATCAGACACGGTTGGTGACTAGCTGTTGAGCATAATGGAGTATTTAGCAGTTAGAAAAGGTAATGCAGTAACAAGGCTTGAATGCTAATAAGAGCTGATCACCAGATATGCTATAAATCCTATATTAAATTAATCAGCTTATAACTACTGCATTGTCTAGAACATTGGTTTTGGATTTTTCTTTGGGGAGGGGGGTTCATTTAACTTAGTATGGTTTAGTTTTTACCCTGTTGCAGTTTTCAAGATAGGGCAGAAGTGGGGTGACTGTAAGCAAAATTTCAATTTTGTTATATGTTTTACTACTTAATAGAGGTTTAAATCATGATAAAATATGCAGTGACTTTTCCCACCAAGAGAGATTGTGCTATCTACAGCTGTATAAAGTATGGCATTAAGCCCGAAGCTTTAAGCATGCAGCCGAGCTAAACCATTCACTTGTTATAGCTGTGTGGATAAACACACTAGACTCAGCAGAAATATAGAGCAGCAATGAAATGAGCTGTGAGATGAACTGTGATTTTGAAGACTGAATGTATAGCGGTTCCACTTTTAATAGGTGGGCAATGCTGTCAAAACACTTTCCCCATGAGCCAAATGTGTCACCTCCCTCGTGATACATCAAAAGAGGAATGTTTTCATGTTGGGTAAAAGTTTAAACAAAAAGAACACAGAATAGCTTTTTCTCAACAGGAGAATATCTTACTTGTGCACTTCTTGAGCCCGGACCCTTTCTTCACCGCATGACGGCTGAGTTTGCAGTTGAAGTTGTTCTCCCAGAACTCAGCAAACCATATATTCCTTCTGTTGTTTTCCAGCGTTCGACTGATGAAGTAACGATCAAACCCTAAACAGATCAGTCGGTTCATTGTCAGTGATGCAGTCATTCTCAGTGTAAGCAACGCTGTATGAGAACCGTAGCTGTCATGTGCTCTAGAGTATATGACAGCAATAATTCAATATCGTGTGCACATTCACGTTGCTTCTTTTTTGTTTTTTATTTGACTGAACTTTTTTACATCTTTGATGATTAAATGAGTGTTGAAGTCATTACAAATAACGTAGTCTTCTGAAAGAGTAAAAGATAAATCGTTTTGTTTTAGTTGCATTGAAATAATAAATCACTGATATGTGCACATGATTTTAGAAGGCAGGGAGATCAGATGCTTGCATAATGTGCATCTCTGTACCTCTGATGGACTGACGCTTGGGCAAGATGGTGACTGCTCCCTCTGCCATCTCCTCCTGCTGCACAACCGGAGAGATCTTTGAGCCCCAGCTGTCTGAACCCACCCAGATAAAATGACCTGTCTGGTTGGCCTTTTTTGCTGCATGGAGCAGCCGCCTGCGAAGGTGAGGAAACAGATGTTGCCACAGATAAGGTCAGCATCCCAACCAGCTCCACTTTGATTTTGTTGTGCAATTCATTACACAGTAGTCTGGCAGACCCGCACTGAAACGGCTGTGTTCCTACATGTTTGCATGCTGTCTGCTGTAGTCATGTTTTCCTAATCTTCAAAAGAAGTGTTAATCTATTACCAGGTTATACCTGATATCATCTTCATTGGCAAAAAGTATGACGACTCTGGCATTTGGATTTTCTCGGAGTCGCCGGATGACCTTGTCGAACTCTCCTTGCTTGGGCTCCCGGGGAATTTTGACAGACTGGGAGATGCACACACCGCCTAGAAAAACAAATATAGAGATGTAAAATAATATGTCAGAGAAATCTCAGACACGCAAACATATGATTAAAACATCAATGATCAGCCAGTACCGTACTTAATTGAGTGGTTTGAATATAACGTAATAGCAAACGTGAAATTAATATGAAATTAAATGTTGTATGTTGCTGAATAAAGCACGGTGGCTATTCAGTGAGAAACAAACTGTCTTTTAGAGTTTATTAAAGTAACATCATTTTCACTTACTAACGGCTCTGACCAGGAAAATATTCTTTGCATTTTTGTGGGACAGGAGAAACTATCTTGCAATTAATAATTGAAAGTTCTGCTCACCCATACTATTTGTTGATTCAGAGGATAGGTTTAAAATGTATGCAAAGTATATGACAGCATGAACATTGTCATGAATTTCCATATTTTAATAGTCAATAAAAAAAGTTTATCTAAATGTATTGAAATATACAGTTTCACTTTTACCTGAACACTGTTGCTACCAGGCAGAACGAACACTGAGATTACACGTTACTGTGCAAAAAATTGCAACATCTGAAAACCAAAAACAAACTCTGTCAGGTAAGGTAGCGTGAGAGTCTACCAGCACTTTACACACTTTTAAATAATTCCCACTGAAAATTAAATAACGCTCAAGCAGTACACAAAACAGGTTTTTGTGTACTGCTTGTTAACAATAAAGCTTACTGTGTGTGCTATTCTTCTTCAAACTTTTTTGTTCTAGACTTCACTTGGACAGGTATAAATGTTCTTAAGTCTGTTTAAGTTATGCTGAAAGCCTGGACCTCGGAGTTTATGCACCAAATGAACAAGGCAATGTTTGTTCATTGTAATGCATACAAAGGACATTTATGCGACGGGACAGCTTTGCAGCTCTGATTTGTTTTCTGCCATGTTAGGTCCGGCCATGCTGGTTAGTATGACAGCACAAAACACTGGCACAAAAGGCTTTTTTTGAATGCTGTGTTTCTCCACCGCTGCAGGCATGTTGTGAAGGTTGTGGTTATGTTGGCCTATCCGGTCTCTGTAATAAAACGCTGAAATATTATAGGAAGTATGTTCTTTACCCATTAGACAAAGCAGAGTTAGAGAACCTACAAAAGGAAAAAAAAAAATACACTTTGAGTCCTTGCAAAGGCAACAGAGAAAGAGGATGCTGACATGTGTTTTATGCCACTCAAGTGAGTTTTCCTGGGCTTCTCCAACAGGATTTCTTGGGTGGAATTTAGAGCGCCTCAGAGTGCCATGTTTGTCTGAACGATTGTTTCTGAGCTTCCTGCAGCTCTACAGACAGCAGGGACACTGCCAGAGGATTGCTTTGCACATACTTTACACTGTTTATCGTACACAGAAACACAATGTTTAGAAGCCAGAAAGAGTGAGCGGGTCATAACTACTTAAACAACTGCAAAAGCAGTGTGTGTTATTTTTTAACTGTCACAAGTTGCTCTCCAAACTAGTAAAAATGAGAGTACTAGAATGCCGAATGAGTCTTATTTTTACTACACCTACATATATT